GCCAGTAGCCGCCACCACCTCCTCTGCCGCGCCGATCCGTCGCCGTCAGCCCCGATCCTTTGAACCCTGCTTCTCACGTCAGATCCGATCTGCGTCGCAGGCATGATCTCGTGTTTACCTTCATTTTCTAAATTAATGGTTAATTATTCAATTAAGTTGTATTAAGATAGCTAAATTATTTTGTGGTTAATATTGTTGTTAGTATGATTATTATATGTAGTTAAATTATTATTGTGGTTAATTATTATTACGATTATTATCGTTTTTGAGGTTGATGTGTACAACCGAATATTTGTGTGGGATGAAGATGACCAATTAGATATGTACGTGTAGAGTTTAATTGTTAATTTTCATTAAAATATATTTAATGTATATGGACATGAACGACAAGTTAGGGAGGGCTATGTTAGAATTTGTGAACTATTACAGAAAAAAGAATTTAAGAAAAGAAATTAAATAAAATAAAAATATATGTATATATATATATTAACTATTTTTTTAAATGATTATTTTGTAGTAGTTATGACGAGGGATAGTTTTCGGAAATATATATATATTAACTATTTTTTTAAATGATTATTTTGTAGTAGTTATGACGAGGGATAGTTTTCGGAATTTATTAATAGAAAGAATATTTTATTTATTAAAAACGTAGAACTGATCATCGTAGAGCGTAACATTTCATGTGCGTAACGATATTAGTTCCCGATTTCTTTTTACTATAATTTTATGTTGTAGAATAATTAAGTACGGGTAACTTGCATGAGGAGTTTGGAGATTTCAGTAGTGATGAAGTCCCCTATGTATGTATTCATGCTGTAGTATTTTGTTTATGCATTTTATGTTCATTATAGGTCTCATTTCTACTTCATAAACCTACGTAATCATGTTTAACATGCCATACTATATTCATGATCTGTTGATGTATTGAGAACCTTAGTAGTTCATAACTTAGTGGCCTCGTACATTATGAACAGACTTAGTGACATGTGTGAATATGTTGACTGAGTTTAGGTGATGAACCCGAGTTTCAATGAAGATTATGGTTGACTGAGAAAAACGAAAAGAGTTGGGTTGGGAATGTCTTAGTTCGCATGATCGAATGTGATTATTGACTTAACTTCCAGGCCTGCACCAGAGACCTATTTCGTCTAGGGGTTGATTTGTTGGTGTTCGCGGGAAAAATTATGTCTTTCTTCATTGTTGATATCATTGCTATCTCAGTTAACAACTTTATGCGTTACAAAGATCCGGTCTTTTTATAAGATCCGGTTACAATGAAAAATCAAAGAAAACAAAGTAAAGATTACAATTTTCCTTATTTGTCGAACTAATCGCGAGCTCCTGTTTTGCGGTCGCTCGCTTTGGTGGGTTCTTTGCCTGCGCCGGGGTTATTTGCCGTGGACCACCGCGTGATCTCGATCCAGTCGGATCTACACGATATGACGGGTAATATTCCACCAAGGGAATAATAGCCGGGAGGGATTGTTTCACCAAGGAAACAACCGCTCGAATCTCGGGATCTAAGAACCAAGCTTAGATCCGGAGTGTGATCGTGTAGATCTCGGATCCAATCCTCTCGAACTCCTGCCTTATTTGGCGTTGGTGAAGCCAATTCCTTGACTAATGCAACTATAATATGATGTTTCTGTTTTGTGCCTAACAGGGGCTTTTGTTGAGGCTGACCCTGTTGAGCCGGCTGTACGACCAACTCCACCAGTCGATGCAGCTACAGTCCTTACATCTCCACCACCCCCAGTGACTCGAGGGGGAGGAGGTATAATTTAATTAACTGAGCAAAGCCATTCATTTCCTTATTGAGGCTTTTGACGAATTTCTCTTCTTTGTGTAGGGCTTCCTTCTCAGCTTCATGTCCTCGTTAAGGAGTTGTTATCGGGGAATGACCCTGAGAAGATCATCATCAGCGTAGAAGTCCGCTCTTATTTCTCCTCCCTGACTGCTATAATTGGCAAACTCCTCCACGACGGACTTTCTCTTCGCCAATTTAAGCCCTACCTCGATTCCAAGATAAATTTGATTAGGGACATAGGATGTCCGGATCTGGCGACGGCTATGGTTGATGACCTTGATCGCTTAGAGCGTGAGCTTCAGATGTTTCATGAGCTCCGGGATACAGGTGCCTCTTCATTCGTTGCTGCCGAGTTGGATGCTCGCTTACAGACATGGCGCAGTACTCGGATGGTTGCCGAGCTCGAGATTCAGGTGCAGCGGGGCCGCATAGATCGAGTTGAGGCTGATCTTGCCACTAGATCATCTTCCCTTGAGGAGCTTGATTCTCAGATAGATCAGCTCCGACGAGAACTCCGTGAGAAGGAAGACACAAAGATGCAGAATCAGCAAGCAAATGCTGCTTTATCTGATGAGCTGAAGTCCTTGAAGCAGACACTGGCTGAGACAGAGGAGGTTGCTGTGAGGACTTTAGCCGCGAACGAAGAGTCTGTCAGAGCTGAGTTGCAGGAGGAGCTTAGACGCTCTTATGACGAGAAGTTATCTGAATTCAGTCAGCAGATTCTTAGCCATGGGCTTGATGTATGATTTTATTTGCTGAAAACCTTGACATTTGATTCTCTTTAGTGGACCTGATTTTTGTCTTTATCTTTATTATGATTCCTCATTCCGTTTGAAATGATTGACCATAATACTCATAGGATTTTTGGCAAACCCCCAGCCTTCAACGGGTTTGATTAGCCTTTACCGACTACCGTTTGAGTCGGGCTAGCATGCGGATTGTCGGAATCCGTTCCGCATGTAACGTTGTGCTAAGGGAATGAACTCCCTTAGACTTCGTGCTATGATGTCGAATACATAGACTTCGCCATTGTTACGGGAATAGGCTACCCGGCGACACGTGTTAGGTGTTGACTTTAGGATTTTTGGCTAACCCCCAGCCTTCAACGGGTTTGATTAGCCTTTACCGACTACCGTTTGAGTCGGGCTAGCATGCGGATTGTCGGAATCCGTTCCGCATGTAACGTTGTGCTAAGGGAATGAACTCCCTTAGACTTCGTGCTATGATGTCGAATACATAGACTTCGCCATTGTTACGGGAATAGGCTACCCGGCGACACGTGTTAGGTGTTGACTTTAGGATTTTTGGCTAACCCCCAGCCTTCAACGGGTTTGATTAGCCTTTACCGACTACCGTTTGAGTCGGGCTAGCATGCGGATTATCGGAATCCGTTCCGCATGTAACGTTGTGCTAAGGGAATGAACTCCCTTAGACTTCGTGCTATGATGTCGAATACATAGACTTCGCCATTGTTACGGGAATAGGCTACCCGGCAA